AGAGGAAAAAACAGAGTACCCCTAATCCATTCAAAATATTACACACACACACACACAGCAAAGAAAGGTGATAAAGAGAAAAAAGGCAAAGTTATACACTTCTAGCCATCATCTCCTGAAATCTTCTATAAGACTCCTGTTTTTCCAGCCTGAATTTCTCATGGCAATTGGCAATAAACAAATCAGCAAGCTTATCGATCTCAATACCCTCATCACCATCACCATCATAACCACCACAACCTTTCTCCTCAAGCCACTGCAAGTATTTTGACAGCTCACTATTCATAGACTCCAACCGAACCTCGTCGAAATCCGGGCCCACCCTCGTCATTTTCTGAAAGCCCGAGTTCCAGCTCGAGTCGTAGCAAACGTACGAGCTGGAATCGGAAGAGCACCAATTGTAATGCAGCCGAAAAGAACCGAAAAACAACTTCTTCTGGCCGCTCTTCTTGCTCCTCTTCTTCCGAGAAAGTTCTAGAATACGGATATAGTGCATGTGGCGTAGTAGCTCGATTATGACGGATTTTGCTCGGGTGAGGGCACGCGCCACTCGGTAGACGTGCGAGAACACGAAGGTTTGGAGGAGGGTTTTGAGTTTCATGGAGTTGGTTATGGAGGAAGATGAGGGTGTGGAAGGAGATTGTGGTTTGATGATGTTAGGGGAAATATGAATGGAGTTGAGAGTTTTGAGGTTTGAGGGACCAGCCATGTGTTTTGATTTGTTTTCCTTATGATGTTTTTGAGTAAGAGTTTTGAAGGGTAAATGTAAAATCTATGTGTGTGTTTTTGTAAGGGGGTGGATTTTATAGAGGATCTTCTGTTGCTTTGTAAATTGGTTAGTAGAGAGTGTAGGTGCATTTAAATGAAGTGGGAACAACTTAGGCTTTAATTAGCTCATCATTCTTGTACAGTAAGATTAGTGTTAGTTAGACTTAATGGTTGAATAAATATTCATTTTAAACAAATATGCATACCTTTAAATTGAAATATATACTCTAAAAACTAAATATGACGCTTTATAGCACAAGTATGTATTTTTATTAGAAAAATATGACTGGTTGACCTACCAAACAACTCTTTGTAAGGATTTGTAGAGAATTACTTGAATTAAATTACATATATATGTTTTTT